CCCCAAAACCCCAAAACCCCGATTTGCTTAATTACTTTGATATTCAAGATTCAAAACTTATTTAAAATTAATTCACTTTTTGCCAAATTATTTATTGTCTTAGTTTCTTACTTTTTTGTATATTAGAAAGTCAATTTGCTTATCAAGTAAAATCTTGTATTGTCCATCTTTATCATCTACTATAATAACTTCAGCAATAGCACTCGTTGGTTCCATCCCGTAGTCATATCTATACCAAAGATTCTCTTGAGAATTATAAATCAATGAATAGTAAAGTAACGTAGGAACTACTGTTTCAATTTTGGTTGGATCATTTTGATTTTCCTCAGAATTCTGATTTATAGTCTCTTTTAGGATTTAACCTATACAGCCTACCAATTAGTACTCATTTCCAAGTTACTAACTAGATTTAGACATGAATTTATCTAGAGATAGCTTAAGAGGATATTCCGTAATCTAATTCTAATCGATTTTCTGCACTTTAATGACCAAGTGATTACTTAACTTCATGAGTTCATTGACCTGCTAAGCTCCTTTTTACTCTTTGCAGTTAGAACAAGGAGCGCTCATATTTTCTCCCCCAACAATACATTGTCTTATATGCTTTCTAAATATCAAATTCAAATCTCTTAACCCTAATTCTTTTTCAGGATATATTTACCTATCAAATTCGGCTTTGAATTGGGTTTTTATTTCATCAAATGAAGTAGTCACAGGAAAGATGACTTCAAATCTCACAATCATTTCAACATCTACTATTTGAGATAATTTTTATTTCTAATTTGGATCTAATTTCCATCTCGAGCCATCCTTTAAAACAAGCACCATCTCGTATGGTTCCTATTAAAGTACTGCCTAATCACAACTGAATAGTTGATTATATGACTCTGTTTCAGATTGCTGCATAAACAATGGATCCATCTGAAAAGAAGTAGTTGCCAAAGTCGTTCTCAAGCCTTTGAAAATTTTACCTGAGATTGTCTTAAGTTGATCACTCTCTTGATACATTATCAACCTTGGGAAACAGTGATAAGTTATTCTGCCATCTTAATCAGCTTTAGCTATATGAACAAAATTTTATCTCTTTATCTTATCCTTTTGAGTCTTACTAACCTCATATGCAAAGGTTGTCAGACTTTGATCTTGTCTGAAGTTGAATTTCATTCCCTCATTACTAAACATTTAGCCATACATAGAGTTTTCATATAGCAGATCAACTAATATGAAACATTTTTTGCATGATTTTACCAAAGGTCTATCTACTTAAACCTTTTCCTTGATTTTTCCCATTACATCTTAAAATGTATATTCCCCTGGTTTTAACTAGATCTCATATTTCTTAAATTAGTCATAGTCATAGAGATAGATAATCTTTAATCTGACACTATGCTTGGAAATTTAATCATCTGCTTCATTTTACAGTTGCAAAAGGTAGTCTTCTTTTTCATTTTACCTCTTAGTCCCACAATTGATACATATCTCACTAAACTTTTGCTTTATTTGAAACATTTAGAGCAGAGATTGATTTTATGCTGCTAACTTGACGACCATTTACTTAATAATGAAGCAAATGTCTTAGTTGACATCAAGATGTCTTTCGATTTTGTTGAAGGGAAGAGTAAAGTAACTATCAATTTAAGAAGAATCAATTAGCCTGTTTAGTACATCTCTGATAATTGCATTGAGAGGGCCTTACTCAATAGTTAGTGAGTCCCTCAATTCATTAAGCTAAGTTAATACAGTAAGAAGTGAAGCAATTTTAGCACCAGCTTGATCTTGTGTTTAGATTGATCTAGGCTTTTAAAATATTCTTTCCTTAAAATGATCGAATTTAAATGGTAACTCTTAGAAAACATAGGTAGGTTTATCAGATTTTTAATTTTCTCCTACCTTCTTTCTTTTATTTATACTGAGTGACAAGTCTTGTTAAATCTTGCCAGAGTCATTGCTTAAATCACTTCTTTTTCTTTTGCCTATTTATTTATCCTGGATAGAGGCAGATATTCCTACAGCAGCACTTTAGCTAACTTAAGATTCTTTCTTAATCAATTAAATATCATCGAACTTAAGGATTGATTTGCTTTCACTTTCCTTTGTGGATTTCTAGCTTTTAAATTTATCTTTGTCTTCATCAGAACTAAATTCATCACTACTACTTGAGTCTTCCCCTTCGTGATCTGTTTAGCTCATTTCTTCATCACTAACTACTTTTATGCTGCTCGCTTATGATTGATCCTGCTACTTAGGTTCTTGTTTTAAAGGTTACTCATTTTAAACTTCTTTATTGTTTAAGGCAGCTTTACAATCATACTCATGAAACCTCTAATCTCAAGTGAGGCATTGCAATGAGCAATAATGAACATCTTAACATTATTTACAGATGTGCATCTAAGCTAGTGCTTCAATTCAACTACAACTATGACACTTTCTCTGAATATTTTAATTTAATGATTCATTCTGTTATATTTGTTCTTTCACATTTATAATTTTCTTTGCACCTCTCTTATTAAGCTTTTCTTATTTTCCCTTTAATTTTTTACCTTTACTTTTAAGTTCTTCACTTTGGTCCTCTTTTTATTCATTTTTAATTTTATCTTCTAGTTTCACCTGGGGAATCTTAGAGTTTTAATTATTCTATATGGGATCTTCATATTTTAGGGCTTTTTACTCTTCCACTTTACTTTAAGAGATCTCATTTATGTTAAGTTACTACTTGAATTGCTAATAAAGATCTGTTGTCGTGTAACTTATATCCCAATAATCTCTTTGAGTGTTGTTGTGATACTTATAATACAAAGTGTAATTAGACTGCCAGTTCTCATCTTGTAATAGAGGTTAGTAAAGTACTAGATGCTTATCTATATTAACCGATCCTTCATCAAACGCCTTATTATCTTTAAAATCTAAGTCGAATAGCCAGATAGTTTTTATCTTTCTGACTTCAACAAACAATGTCTCTCTAAATCTCTAAAATGTCTAATATTCTTCAACATAAAACTTTAAACTATTCTCTAAAGAGTAGCCAGGAAATTTCATTCTTTTAGGGAGCTAAAGTATTAAATAAATGGGAAAAAATACGTACCTATTTAGAGGAAAGTTATTAGTTAAATTAATCAATGAAATCTATGTCTCTAAGTTCAGGATGTAATCTCCAAAGTCTAATTTCCTCATCCAAATATTCCTTTAGCCAGACGAAGGCATCTTTAAGTATCCACTTTATTTGTTCAAACGTAGTTTTCCTGGGTAAGATTAGCCACTTGGGATATCTTATTGCTTCATCTCTTAGAACAAGACAAACTTAGATCTATTAATATAAAATTTTATTCTATTTACCGTTGGCAAGTAAGGTTATCTGTCAAGAACTCCTGCCTGATTTTTGTAAATTGCATATCTCAATATTTCTTCGCCTTTATATCTTGAGGACAGGAATTTCCATATACTTTCACTAACTAAGAAGAAATCTTTCTCTTGAGTAAGTCCATTTTTCAAAGGAGTGTTACAGTAGTTTATTTTACCTCCCAACTATAATTTATTTTGAAGATGATCCTTTTTGTCCAATAATAAAAGCAAATTGGAGATCTCTCCAGGATTAGAATTATTCGACAGAATTTTATTGATACTTAAATCAGACTCTTTCTTACCCTACTCTATTAGAAATCTCATTATATAATCGTAAGAAATGTAGTCCTTCCACCTATCAAACCATCTTCTGTTCATAATATAGAATGTATCTTCAAATTTGCACCAATTAGTTTCATTCAGCAGGTAGAAAAACTCTGCTATTCTTTTGGCCTCCATAATTCTTTGATCAACAGATTTTTACTGATTCAATTTCATTCCCTGCACTTTTTAAATCTGCATTTGCTATTCTTCTCTTTTTCTCTATATTCTTCTATCTTCTCTCTCTTATAGCTCTCTATCCTGTTTGATAGTCTAAGCTTTTTTGCACACCTATCTAATATAGTCATAGTCTTCTCTTTCATAATGTCTTTTTGCAGATTTAAGTCTGTCTCCTAATTTTGAGCCACTTGGTTAAATATTATCTTAATTATGCTAGGAAATAATTTCTTCTCTCCTGTCTTAAATTCTTATTTCAGATTCAAATTGTCTATAATTCGTAGAAACCTAGCCAATTGATCAGTTTATTTGATTGAAGGCATATTTTGAAGATGTTTATGACTGATAAGGCTGCTTTTAAAAATTGGGAGAAAAAGATCTCTGTGATCTCTCGTTATTTTCTTGCCATTATTTATAATTTTACCTCTATCTACTATTGCTATTTCTTTCATTGCCAACAATATCTCTATTCTGTGAACTTAGTCTGCCCTGATTATCCTCAAATCTTTGTTAAGTATTGAACTTTCCTCTAAATGAATCATCTCTGTTTTAGTTAAATCTATTGTTAGACCTCTGGTTATCAATATGTTGCTAAAGCTACTATTATATTGCTAATTTATTTTGATCAAATCGAGAATGTGATTAATTTGGCTGAATCTATGCACTTTTGGTTGGATTTCTTTAATCAGATTCTTCATCGCTTTGAAACAAGCCTTGGTACATTTCAAGTTTCTGTTAGAATACTTAAAAGTCTTGCTTAGGTGGGTCTTCTCTAAATGACTGAGGTAAGTTATTTGACATTTATTATTAATAATGGAAAAATTTTAAATCAAAATTTAATGTCAAGGGAATTAATCATTCTATGATCTGGGGTTTTGGGGTTTTGGGG